ATATATATATATATATATATACACATATATGTATATATACATATATATATATAATATGTGTGTTGAAAGTATTTTTCTTTCATTTCTGCGCTGCTTACAGGTGAAAGTGTTTGGTACGCGAGTTCGTGTGGATTCGGTTGCAAAAGTTGCGGAACTGGAGGTTGCCGAGAAACAAAAAATGAAAGAAAAGGCATGTCTTTTGACGTGATGATCCCGTCTTAAGCCAAAGATTATATGGTTTTTTGATGAAAACCTCGGCTGTTCTTTTCAGGTGAACAAAATAGCAGCGCATAAAATTAATGTGTTTATCAATCGCCAGCTTATCTACAACTATCCGGAGCAGCTCTTCGCTGATAAGGGCATCATGGCAATCGAGCATGCCGACTTCGAGGGAATCGAAAGATTGGCGCTTGTTCTTGGTACTCTTCTTGATGCTAGACAGTTTTTATTGCTGGATGAAATTAGCACAGTAAATGTAGTCTTACCACAACAGTCATAATATTGCATGAGATGTGTTAAGGCAGTATCTAGTGGATTAAGAATGGAGAAGGACATCTGGAAAAGCCGCATGTGGTTGTGTGAAATCTCTGCATTTTATCCTAAGACTTTATAAGCAGTGTGAATTGGCTATGCTGTGAATGCTATGTTTACAGGTGGCGAAATAGTTTCAACGTTCGATACACCGGAGCAAGTTAAACTTGGTTCCTGCGATCTAATCGAAGAGGTTATGGTTGGCGAGGATCGCATGTTACGATTTTCGGGCGTTCCGATTGGTATGTCGTTTTCTAAAGCGGTATTTTTTTGTTTATTGGAGCTTCCATTTCCCTTGTGTTGCCTTCAGATTTGACAACCTTCTCACCACTTTTATTGTAATGTGTCGCAGCCAGTTGTCTGGAATCTATGTTTAGCACTTCGGAGCACAGTTCCGTGTAAGCAGCGTATCGCTTATGATGAGATTTGAACAAAGCATTTCACTCGTTTTGCTGGCAAACACTGAAATTAGCATATCAGCGATTTGTACTTGCAACGGAGAAAAAAGTAGTTGGACAGCCCCTAAAAAAGTGATGTAGGCAGGATTTGTGAGTGCAAATTGATGAGCATTGATCAAACCAAGGGTAATAAAAGGAGGATTAGTTACGCAAGCGCACATTGTGTGAATGTATCGCTCACTAGCATCCTGGGTCTTTCTTTGCTTAACGGACTGCTTGTATATTTATCAAAAGTACGTTTTTTCGTTATTCGGAAGGAGGGGAGCGAAAATACGTTTTTGTTGTACTAAAACTTTCAGATTATTCGCTGTGAATTTGCACATCCCGAAATTTTTTAGCAGGAAAATAGATGAAATACCAACTGTTATTCCGAATTCATTGATTGTTTTCAGGTGAAGCATGCACTATCGTAATACGCGGTTCTACCCAGCAAATTCTTGATGAGGCAGAACGTTCGATTCACGATGCGCTTTCAGTTTTGGTCACACATGTCAAAGATCTGCTGACAGTTGCCGGTGCCGGGGCTTCCGAAGTGTTGATGAGTACTGCTGTGATTTTCGAGAGTCAAAAGGTGCATTATTTTGAAGCACATTTATCAAATGTCTCTTTGCTCCCTGCTTCCTTTCTTCCCTCAACAACCATCGGAATATTTGTGTGAAGATACTTTCACTCCTTGCCTCGTGGGATTATAAGTTCCGAGTTTTCTCATATTTTTGATTTTTTGCTTTTATCCCTACGAGTTTTATAGATACGTCTTTCTCTCTGTCATACCAGTTGCTAGAAGTAGGTCTTATTATCGATCAAAATTGTTCATTCATTCTGTTCTTAGGCATTTGCATTTATCAATTAATTGAATGTGCGTTCTGTTATATAGAAAAAACTTCCAGGTTGCTGGGAAGGAATCGCTTGCAGTAGAGGCCTTTGCTCGAGCATTGGCGCAGTTGCCAACATATATCTGTGACAATGCCGGTTTGGATAGCGCTGATATCATATCAAAGTTACGTGCTGCTCACAGTGCCGGCAATCATTCGATGGGGATTGGTCAGTTTTTTGCCGAATATTTTCGTAATAGTATGGCTGTGACTTTGTGTCGGTGTACTTTTTGTTCAGAACAGGTCATCGATTCTTTTTTGTAGATATTGAGAATGGCAAGCCGGGCGATGTCGTTAAAATGGGCATCATCGAATCACTCACTGTGAAAATGTGCATGATCTCCAGTGCAGCAGAAGCTGCTGAACAGGTACCAGTTCTTTATGCACTTTCTTATTTTGCCGGTTTTTTTTTTTTTTTTGACAAATGAGCTTTAAGAAATCTCTTGGTAAGGTTTTTATTTCCTCTCGACCGCTTGGCAGCTTTGAAATTCCAGGTTTGCCATCTCATTTTGCTATTTTTGTTAACCTAATAAAACATCAAAAACTGAAGTGAAAATTTATATTATTTTTTAGGTGGGTAGTGGTAATTGCAAAATTGGGTGAATGTTAGTGCTCTTCATATAGCTGTCGGCATCTAGTAGGGTTTTTGATACCGTCTTTCCTTTTTCAGTTCTAACTGACATGAGCCAGTACCAGTTTTCCATCTTAAAAAATGATCTCGTAGCAAACTTTATTTTTGTTAAAATGCCTGGATGCTTAGATCAGCTGCGTTTCATTTTCTATTTCCCAAAATGCAGCGAACTTTACCAGTTGCTGTGACCAATGCTGCGAAGCCTAAAAGTCAGCCTGCTAACGATCCTGATATTCGTTTTGTTAACTCAGCGAATAAAGAGTTTATCAATTCAGCGGTTTACCACTCCAAAAGAAGCATCTGGCAAGGCCCTAGTTGTTGGTTTCGAAATGTTCTTGGTATGTATTGAGTATCACTGTTGCGCCTTGGATGTTACCGCCCTTAGAGCACAGTGGCATATCGTTTAGGAGGTTGAAATACTTTGTAAAACGCTTTTTTTCAGATACTTCGTGTGGACGATATAATAAAGTGTGCGCCAAGACAACGCACACGCGACCGCAGACCGTGCTAGATTTCTCTCCTAGCACTGTGCTTGTTATTTTTTAATATTGTAACGTTACTGATTTTATCAACCGAAAGGAATAAGCCTGTTTTTAAATGTCCGATTTTAAAGAAATACTGCAGTGCATTTCTTATCTTTCGTAACTGTCAGTTAGTTGCGCACCATATGAAGAATTTATTCGAAATTTCTGTTATTTTGTTGGCATTTTTTTTTTTTTTTGCAGAAATGAACTTCCAACTTGCTCAGCCTTGTATGTAATTCGCACGGTGGTTGGAACTCTCGACTTAGAGCTTCAATCTTACCAAAATGCAATTACACACCATGTGAAGCAGTGCTTAATTCTTTGTTGGGTTGCATAAGTGCATTTTTCATCAGCCCACCATCTGTTCGAAAATCGCTGCAGTGGTTTTTTTCTCATGAATATCACTCATTGGCACTTTGCATTTCTTGATTCCCATCTCTGCAAACAAAATTCTGTCGAACGGATGGAAATCGAGAGAGCCGAAACGACATTAAGCACCAAATGAACAACACTGCACACAGCAGCACGTGATGATCCTTTTCTACAATTAAATTAAAAATTTCATGATTCAAATGTGCATTCAGCTCGAGAACGTTACTGTCTGGGAAGTTAATTTTTAGTTTCCATTCCTACATTGTCGGAAACCAAGGCGGGAGAGTTGTGAATTTGATGAGTTAATTACTACCTTTGGCACAGAAATTTGAAGCCGCATTGGTGACGCTTTGCATTTCGGCTCCGGACCCTACTTCATATTCAGCGAACGGATTAATCCTACAACTTTTCGTGCAGTTGTCCGCATCCCCCAGACAGAAATGGACCGCAGGATTGCTGAGTTGAGTGAGATTAGCTCGAATCCAGTAAAGCTAGAAGACAGGTACAAGATTTCAGGTTATTTGCTACCAAAAACTAAGGCCTCAAAATTTCGTCAATACTTTGTCGCACAGCCGAGAAGCGTGAGGAATGCATACGGGAGAGATGGGGTCACGCATTTGCATATATGCAAAAAGAAAGTGATTCGAATGAATGAAAGTTAATCACGAGTTCGTCCTCCAAGCCAGCTTTTAGAAGCATTCAAAAGCGATAGTTTGACCAGTTACGCAACACTTTGTTAGATTCTGTTCACCGGAAGTGCAGTCTTATTTCCCGCGCCGCACCAAATGGAAGCAACGGTGCCCGATGCGATGCCTGCTCCTGGTGAGACGGTGACATTAAAGGGTAACCAGTACAAGATTGAGTCGGAGCTCTACGATGGACCATTCAGCAAGGTTTACGTGATCAACCAGGGATCAGTACAGTACGCGATGAAAACAGAGAGAAATGTCGGACCGGCTCGGTGATTCGTTAAATGCCTTTCTTCCTGGATGAAATTTTTGTTCAAAAATAAGGGCACTTCAGACGCTACAAAGCTGATGTCAGCAAATTTTAATGAGTAGTACCAGGGGATTGGGTTCTGCTGATAATAAATGCTGACTGTACACAATGCGAGGATGGAGGGGGTGCAGAAATGAGAGCAAGTCTGAAGCAAATACAGCCAGAACTGCACGATATGATGCTTTATCATGTGTGGAAAGCACATAATCACCGAACATCTTCCGCATGATCTTGACTTTATTATCCCTTGTTCTTATCCTCATTTGTTTTGCTAGTCCCTCCAACACTTCATCACGCAATCAGTTCCTTCCATCTCCTTTTTCTTAGTTTTTTTCCAAAAAAAGGACCAATAATAATTATTCTAACAAAGATCCTTTTAAAAACTAATTACCACGTGCCATCTCCCGCTCCCACGTTTCCTTATCGTCCCTTCAGAGGCAAGCAGATTAAATGCTTATAGTGGTTATTATAAAAAACTAGACAATTGTTGTGAGAATCTTAATAAGGTAAATAAAATAAGATATTTTTATGTTTAAAGAAGAAGTAAAAAATGTTGAAAAATTTTTTTTTAATGGTAAGAAATGTTTCGGTCCATTTTCGGCCCATGTTTCGGTCTTAATGTTGATAGCTGGACGCAGTCTCAAATTATGCTAGGCTTCTTGATTTTGAATTACATGCATCCAATTAATACTAAGCATCTCCGGCAAATATATACGATTTATCCCTAAGACGTCTGACTGGTCTTGTGAGTACAGTTCACTGGTGCGTGAGCTTTGCCTGTTGCTAGTGTTGCAAGCGACGTAGTCGCGGTGATATACTGCTGTGTCTCTCATCTGACAGAAAATCTGATGCCTACAACACTTTGAGAATAGCTCAAAGCATTTCGGCTCCACTGGTCTCTTAGTCACAGCCATCATTTATTAGTTACTACTTTTCGCATTAGTGTGTCACCGTCTTCAGCAAAACAGTGGGAAGAAGCAATCCTCTCGGTTCGGCGCTTTGCTACAATCGCCAGCAGGAGAGTCGCACCGACAGCCTTCCCACATGCGACTCTCTTACTGGCGATGGTAGCACATACTCGATTTCTAATCATGACAGGGACAACACTGGATCGAGCAGGCCGAGGGTACTAAATGGGAGTGATAGCTCAAGACCGAAACGGTTCCTAGTAGGTGGAAGCTCCTAGGAGTATCTCTAAATTCCAGCCAACAAATCCCATTCTGCTATCCTAGCAGTATTCGAAATTCAGAATGTGTATAAGGCTACAACAATATGAGAATGAAATAATCATCGATAGAGAAAATAAATAGCAGCGCGCACCAGAACAGCCGGTGCGATCATGCGTTTTGTGCAATTCCGTTCACCGAATGATCGCCGGTTAATGATTTCCAGTGCTTTGCACTTTGGTCTGTGCAGAAATAACTGAAATTTTAAAAATAATTATAAATTTTTCGCATCGGCACGCGAAAACGGAATTTGAAACCTCGGCATAGTTAGGGACTGAATTCGAGTTTGCTAAGCCTCTGTTTAGATAGGAAACATTCTCCTGAAATTTTTAGTCCCCCTCCTTCCTCCCCCCCCCCCCCCCCCCCCCCCCC